ACGAATTCCGTGCGGACGTAGAGGGCCTTTTGGGACGGGGGTCGGACGGGAGGGGGCGCCTGGTGGAGGTCGAGCAGGACGGCGTCCGAGGGGGTGCGGGAATGGTTCATGACGGGTTGGACAGCGGGGTTGAGACGGAGGGTGGGGGCAGAGCGAACATGAGGCAGACCTAGGGGGAGAATGGGGCAAGGCGGGTCGCAGGGGAAAGCGGGGTAGTTTGGAAGAGGAGGAAACGGGAGTGCGGGAATTGGTTTGCATTTGCTGGGGGGGATATGGGGGATGGGATGAGGTTTGGTGCTGGAGGTATGCGATTGGCTGATCTGGGTGATCCAATGAAGAGGGGTAGTCCAGCAGGGCAGGTCGGTATCTATCTGTAAAGGCGGCTACTAGGGATGATTGGGGGAGTGTCTGGGGAATGTGCGGTGCGGGGCGGCTTGATTCTGACGGCGGTACGGCGGTATCGCGACGATGGATGAAACAGGCCTGTACTGTTCTGTAGGAGCCAGCGATGTAAGCAGGGCTCAATTTGGCCAATGATGTGGGGTTTCGTGTGATGGGCTGAGAATGAGAGTTTAGGAGAAGGGGGAAGTGTCAGTGACCAGTGAATGCAATGTTCGAGGCATCACGTTGCTTCACGGCTCCACAATGGCCTCGACTCCTTCGAATCAAATAGTTCGGCCACTTTCATCCTTGATCATCATCTGCCCTCACATTCCTCACTCATCCCCCACGTCATACACTATTCCTCTTACCTCATCCTTCCGCTCCAGTCTCCATTTGACCTCTTTCCTTTACCACTTCCTTTCTCCCTTCCCCCATATACCTCCCTCTTTGTCCACATAACTTCCCCCCCTCCCCCCCTCCCCTTCTACCCTCCCACCATGTCGAACGCCATGGCAAAGCTTCGCCGCATTGTCCATCGCCGGCGTTCGTCCACCGGTACCTCCGATAATGAAAAGGAAGTTCTTACCCTCACCGTCGCCAGGGATGAGCTTTGTATTCTCAAAAAAAATGCAGATGCGGGCGTCGCTCCGTGCAAGTCAGGCACGCTGCTCAAATATACCAACGTCGTGAAGAGATACAAGCCCCGATTCTTTGAGCTTGAAAACGGTGTCTTATTATACCGCGCCTCACCAGAAGCTCCCGACGACGACCGCTCGGATGCCCCGCGCAGCAGCGAAGGATCCGCTCCGGATTCACAGGATAACGTCAGAAGGGCAAAGACAAGGAAAATGTTTGCCTTTCTGAAAAGACAAACCTCGAAAGAGGACAAGGAATCTGATGTCAAGGGTAAGATCAACCTGCAGCTCGCTGTCATTTCTGCAGATGATTCAGATCCTACCAGGTTTGTTATTGATGTTGGTGCCGACCTCATTCATCTCAAGGCCAGCACAGAGGAAGAGCGTGATGAATGGGTTGCCGTCATGAACGCCTCCAACCACTATTTTCGAAACCTCATCAAGAAGGCTGTCAACCGCGCCAAGGAACGTGCAGAACTGCTCGATTCCGTAACTCAGAAACAAACCACAATACCTTCAACGATTGCGCATCACCCATCCCCTGACAATGCGCCCCCACCTACGGGTCGCGTCAGCAGCGGCAGCACAGAATCCGATGACACTGTCTTCGAGGACGACGGCGTCAAGGAAGCACAGCAGAGTCGAAAAGCCCTTTTGTCCGAACTTAAGCGTGTCCATGCCGTGTGGAGGCAAAAATGGGTTGATGATCCCACTGAGGCTGCACTGCGGAGCGAGCATGACTTTTTGGTTACACTCGCAGACACTTTCCGAGATCCTCGCCAACATCCGCCGTCATCAATTGAGAATGCACGCGAATCTGTCAAAGGCCTCATGGACCTTATTGCGTGGTGCTTATACGCCATACAAACTAATGATGAGATTTTTGAGCGCCGCTTGAAGGCGGACCTCACCCGCCTCATGTCAGACGGTTTGCCTGTCTTCCCTGCCAGTCCGAGGAAGCAGCAGCAGACCCTCCGAACGAATTTCGATGAGCCAGAGGAAAGCGATATGGACAGCGATACTGAATTTTTCGATGCCCTCTCTAGGGCAGCCAGTATGCGGTCTGGTAGATCAAGAACGCTTCCCCCTCTCGATGCAGTCCTGGGTGAGACTGATTTGGAGGAACCGAGAGTTAAAAGGCTTGGCATCAATGAGGTGCAGCGTGTCCATACGAGGGTTATTTCAAAGGGCTTCAGGCATGTGCGAACCAGTCTTCCCAAGCTTCCGGGGCCGAGGGAGAAACTTAACGTGTTTAATATTCTTAAGGACTCTGTCGGGAAGGACTTGTCCAAGGTTGTGGTCCCGATCACCCTCAACGAACCGATTTCTTTCTTGCAACGCCTTGCGGAGGATATCGAGTACAGTGAGCTCCTGGACAAGGCAGCAGAACAGTCAGATGCTGAGCGAAGAATGATGTACGTAGCAACAATGGTTATCTCGCACTACAGCTCGACCCAAGGACGTGTACAGAAACCATTCAATCCTTTGCTTGGAGAGACCGCTTGTGTGATAATGCCCAACAAAGGAAAGGGTCTGCGCTTTATGGCAGAGCAGGTGAGTCACCACCCTCCAGTTTCTGCTTGTTACGCCGAGGGTTCCGGTGCTTCCTGGAAATATCATAATGCGATCGAAATCAAGAACAAGTTTTGGGGTAAGAGCCTGGAGGTCTTTCCGGTCGGCTTAAACCACGTTGAGATTCCTGAATACGGGGATCACTATGTATACAAGCAAGTGACGACCTGTGTTCACAATATCGTTGTTGGTCGACTGTGGCTTGATAACTATGGAGAGCTGGAGATTACGAATAGGACGAACGGCGGAAAATGCATCATCTCATTCAGCAAGACGGGGTGGATGAGTGATTCGAGGTCCTTCGGAGCAATCAAGGCTACTGTGTACGACGCCAACGGCAAGGCGAAAATTAGATTGGGCGGAAACTGGACGAAAGCAGTTTGGGAGGAACTCCCGAAAGGCAGGCGAAACGTTCTCTGGACCGTAGAAGAACGACCAGACGAAACTGCTTCTCAGATGTACAACATGACAAAGTGGGCAATCTCGCTTAACGCAGAGGTGCGCGACGAAGAGCGCAAATTTGTGGCTCCAACCGATAGCAGATATCGTCCGGATCAAAGAGCGCTTGAAGCGGGAGAGTGGAGAGCAGGAACAGAACTCAAAGCACAATTAGAAGAAGCCCAGCGAAGTCGCCGCAGGATGCAGGAAGGGTCCGGGGAAGAGTGGGAAGCACGATGGTTCAGGAGAATAACTGACGAGGTGGATGGCGTGACTGACTATCAATTCACAAATGAATTCTTTAATAACCAAGCTGTGGGTGACTGGTCTCGATGCCCAGATATCTTCTCTCTCCCGGGCACTGCAGAGGAACAACTCTCTTCGGACAAGAGAACATAATTCTCCCCACTCTCGTCATACGGGTTGATAGCAATTTATAATAACTGTGGATCAAATGGATCGCCTTTTGTACAAAACTTAGCATTATCCATGTATCTCATGTGCTTGGCACAATGGTTTCGCCTATAGAACACTGAGTTTCCTGAAGCAAAGAGTTGAACTCTTCTTTTTTTCTCGCCATATACGATTCTTCTTCTGCAGAAAAACGCTTTCTGGCCTTTTGAGGGCGATCTGCTTCACTTTCGCACCCATCACGTTTCCGAATGGTAGCTGAAGCTATTCGGGGATGATTCTCGTCGGTTTCGTTTTGTTCCATCTCGATGAACCCACGGCTTTCCTGTTCCATTGAATTCTGTGGTCTTGTCTCAACGCTCACTAGATGGGTGAATCGGGTTTGACCAGGAACAAGCCCCAATGGAGTGATCCTCCAGGCTTCGTGATTATTACACAACGCCCATCGCGGTCTATCTGTAGTCCTGTGCTGTGTTGGCACAGTCTTCTTCTTGTTTCCCGCATTGCATTCTAGCTTCTCGGACAGCTCCCTCATTCTGTCAAGCACTGAATGATGAATAGGAGTCTCATACCCACCCTCGGTCACAGCTGTTGATGCGATTTCTTCGGGTCCATTCTTGAGAATCTCATAGTTCATATCATCTGTCGCAGCCCCGAAGACTTTCCTAATCCCAGTTGCAGTACCTTCAAGAGCGGAAGATATGCCCTTCCTCTGAGGCTCCCAGTAATTTTCTTCAAGCCATACGAGGGCTTTCTCAGCGGCTTTCTTTAGTACAGAAAGCCGCGGAAGGGCGTTGTGACTGGCCTGGTGCCGAATTTCAACGAGTATAAGCGGGAGTTTAAGATCAACTGCTAGAGAATAGACGCTTCGTGCTATCGACCTTTCACCTCGTGGTTGCAGTTGATCCGTAGTTCCGTTCACTAGTCTTATCAAAGTCATAGAAAGAGCTAAACGTTGCAGGTAAGGATCTGGATCAGGATTTTCAAGCTGCCTCATTAACGTTATAGTGCTTGCCATCCGAATTGGGACTGCATCCCGCCGGCGCAGTCTGTACAGGGCAACCCGCTTAGCGGCGCGCTCCGTTGTTCCGCTATGGATCATGTCTCGGAGTTCATTCCATTCCGACCAATCTGCCCATGGTAACACTCGCGTTCCTCCCATGCCCTTGTGCTTAGATGATGTTCGCGAATTGGTTTTACACAGGTAATCGTTAGAAGCAGACTCCTTCCAACAGGACTGGTCGAGTTTGTTCCACTTTCAAACGTAATTCTCCCGAGTTCGCGTGATAAGCAGACCAAATGTCTGAAACCAACTCCACCTTTTTGACGTCGCGACGCGATACTGCCGTAGCAATCCTCCCGTCGTAGAAAGCGCTCGCAGAACAACTTTCTTACGCGGAGGCTACTCCGCGGGGACTGACAGAAATTTGGGATTTCAAGAAATCTAAAATTCTAGACCATCAACGCACCCCACAACAAGTCTTGTTGTAGAAATTCGATTACTGTCCTCGCCATGTCCGAGAGAGCCGTGAGCAAAGTCAAATCTGTCTTTGCGTTTGGGGCCTTTTTCTATGCTCCAAGCTTTCTGTCGCTGCGAGTTGGTCTACCAGAGTCAGGCTGTGTTCGACGCTCAACTGCAAAACGCCAGAGTGCTTCGAGGAGGCCTCCGGCGCCTTCACCGAGATTTCACGCCTCCGTTACGCGACGAACTTTTCTCGCAGCAACGCTTAGCCTCCCGGCTGTTCTACTTCCAGAATTGGTGACTGCCAAGACTAGCGTGAAATCTGCGTACAGTATAGTTACCTCCAAGGACGGGGCACCATTGGCTCTTGACAAATTTTCCGGCAAAGTAACCCTCTTTGTCAACGTTGCAACTTATTGCGCCCTGACCCCACAGTACGAGGGCCTTGTTTCCCTTTTCGAAAAATTCCAAGCCCGAGGTTTTGAAATAATCGCATCACCGTGCGACCAATTTGGGCACCAGGAGCCAGGATCGAACGACGAGATTTGCAAATTCGCAAAGGAGAAGTTTGGGGCTCGTTTCTTACTGCTCGACAAGCTCAACGTTAACGACGGTCCAGGAGGAGTCGCGCCTTTGTACCAATTTCTTCGAGACACAAGTCCAGAAAACCCGGGGCAGCGTGTGGGTTGGAACTTTGAAAAGTTCTTAGTGGGCTCTGACGGACGCGTGCTGCGGCGATACAAGCCTGGCGTCTTGCCGGAGCAAATCGACGAAGATATTGGTTGGGCTTTACAACATCTGGGACAAGATCTTCCGCCAAAGAAGAAGCCGTCTCTCGGTGTCACTTAGCGATGGGCGCCAAGAGCGATGTCGGCGTGAATAAGTCTATTCTCAAATGCAAGCGCCGGCGAGGTCTTTACGAGGTGATGTCGGCAAGAAGTAAGGTATGGAAGAGCTCGAGGTCGTTGATTACGGCAGAACACTACGACATGTTGCCGCCAACAGCGCCGACATATTTGAATATTGACGCTGGACCCAGCATGTTACCCACGAAAAAGTACTGCGACATCACGGGGCTGCCGGCGAAGTACATGGACCCGGTGACAAAGCTGAGATATGTTGGGAAGCAGGCGTTTCGGAAAGCTAGAAACTTACCTGAACACAAAGTCGAGGAGTTCCTGTCGTTGAGAAAGGCACAAGTCCGCATTAAGTAAACTAACAAGGCGTGTGGGAGAATACCGGGTTTTAATGTATCTAGCGAGGCGTTGAAATTGACACAGCTGTGCATGTTTTAGCAAGAAGTGGACTCCTACTTTCTCTTCTAATGCCAACGGTTGTTGTACATGGCGCCCTTGCAAGGGCTGCTGTTCAGAAGGCGAAAAAGGGGGTGAGAAAACAGATGATGAGTTACTTTTTCTGCTGTTTCTTGTAAGCGAATAGGGCGATGTGAATGCTTGCCATCAGAATTAAGCGAAACTAATCAGCACAGAGAAGAACTCTTCTAAGCTCAAAGTGAAGAATTAAGCATATAATTTTTGTCTTTTTCATCACACGGGCCTGCTGATTGTCGAAAACACGGACAACTTACTCTCAGATACTTGAATGGTTTTGAAGGAAGTCTGGTATACGATAGTGGCCCAGATCAACACTCTGTAAGAAGAGATGAATCGTATGGCATAGAGTGGTCAGCATTCGAAACAGAATACAAGAAAAAGGGATTCAAAGTCAAGTTCCTCGGACGGTTGATCCGTTAGCGCCTCTCGGCAATCTACATAGCGGAAGCTTTCGAAGGCTATAAAAATATTCGTCAACGGAGTGTATCAGGCAAATGAAATCAGCAGAGCAGCACGTACCAGTTAGTTTGTCCATGTCCGTCTGTTTCCGATGTAGGGGGCAAAAAGCGCAGGAATGTTAGCAAGCTATGGCAGGTGTGAAATGTGGATGCCGCGTTTCGACTCGGGTTCAGAATATTTTATCCTCAGATCGCCTTGCATTTAACGAAGGAGTGGTGCAGTCCAAGTGTCGAAAATTTTCGTCATCGTCGGCGGCGACTTGGTTGTCAGGACATGAAAATGTGGGCGTGAGTTCTTACCTTTGCACATCATGCTGTGACAAGCGCAGAAACGCAATGCCGCAGCGCATGCCGTTTAGTGAGGATGATGCGGCGCCGGAAGACCGTAGATAGGATCACGCCGCGGCCCGGCGTGTCTCGAAGTTGTCTCAATGAGGCTAGACTTCTACACGTACGCACGTGGGAAAGACGGTGAAGATCACAAATAGCTCTGTGATCCTATCTAGGCGATGAAAAATTAAACGTGGTTGTGCCGTGTCCACGTGGACAGAAGTAGATGGGATGTCAGAGTCATCAGGGTCGGGGAGGAATCTGGGTCCAGCGAGAGATCGCTTTGATCTCAGGAGCGCATGGATGTCTTGCATTCAAAATCTATTGCCCAACCCCAACCTACAAGCTAAACAGATGCGCCAACCCCCTCGTTCCCGCCGGCATCAACACGGTAGGGTTTGATCCAAGTTTCCTCGCCCCCCACCCCCATTGCCGTCTTCGATATCTCCAGTCATCCGTACACGTCTAAGTCGACTACCCATCCAACCCAACATGCCAGCTCTAGCGAAAATCCCCCCTACTGTGAAAACCGCCTTCGTCCTGCACGCCCTCCCCACCACCGCCCGCCCCTCCGCCTCACGTCGGTCTTCCGGGACAGTATGTCCCACGATGGGGTATATTTCCGTTAGTCGGAGACGGCGTCTATACGAGTTTATGCGAGACTCAAATGTTAATCCCACCCCACCTGCCTTGCTTCCAAAGTCGTCTACTGATCCCTCTTCAAAGTCGTCTACTGATCCCTCCTCAACCGCAACCGCACTTCTGGTCTCACCGCTCGTACCCGCGTACAACCCGCCCGACTTTGCATCCACAGACGCGACCAACAACGATGTTGGGGTCGAAATCGCGAGTCTGCTCGCAGAAAAGGAGAACAAAGTCAAGGAAAACGCAGAAGCCAAGGAGCGCGCATGGCTTCAGGAGATAGCCGCTTTGCGCACTCCGCCAAAGGTTGAACCAATGCCTACTGCTCCAACTTCTACTGGCGCCCCGCAAGCGGTGAGTGACACGTCCGCGGCAACGGCGTCACCAACTTCCTCGGTCACGGAAACCTCCGTCGCGGAAGCCCGGACAGCGCCACAGCCTACTGCCACGTCATCATCTTCATCCCCATCTCCACCTGCGGCGCCACCTGCTCCCACGGTGTCCGACCTATATGACCCCCCGGCAACGTCTTCGCCCTCATCTCCGGTCTCGGAGGGGGTGCAGCGTCCGTCGGTCCCTTTTTTCTCCAATGCAATCAAGACTGTAGTCGACGCAACGGGGCGAGCCTTTACAGGCGGTGTTGATGCTGTTGAAGACTTTGGCAAGGACCGCATTGAAGACGCTCAGGAAGTGATTGAGAAGATTGGTGATGACTCGGATGACAGCTACGCTGAAGAAGTTCTCGAAAAAATGGCCTCAGAAGCTGGTGAGTTTCTGGAAAATATCTCCAAGGACATGGATGACGACCCATCTGCACAATCAGAAAACAGTACCGGTGCGGATGCCAAACTGGCCGATCAAATGGTCAGTCAGGTCATGGAGAACGTTGGAGACTTTACCGATGGTATCTCACAGGAAGAGGCCGACAAGATTCTCGCAACATCGGAAAGCCCCAGAGGCGTCAAAGCGCGCGAAGACTCGAAAAACATTGGGGAGAAGCTGCTCGACGCGATTGTGGAAGGCGTAGATACGCCGGGAGTAGATGAAACACCCCCTGTCGACAAGAGTGAATTGATTGAGCTCGTCAATACAGGCAAAATCAAGAACTTGACGGTCACAAAGCTTCGAAGATTACTCTCTGGCAATGGTCTCAAAACTTCGGGAAGAAAATCCGAGCTTATCGCCAGACTGACGTCATTTGCAAACACGAAGTAACTTGTGGTTTCATGTCTACTGTATAGGGCTCCCGTGAATATGGCCTACCAAGTCACGCGCCGCAATCTTTGAACATCGCTGATATTCTTTCCCGCACATTTTGCTGGGCTTGTCGATCCTCTACGGCATAGCTTCTTCTCAGGCGCTGGCTTGGAATTCACAAGTGATTTGTCAAGCTTCTCCTCACAATATCGCTTTACGGTGGTTTATCAAAGTTTAAACTGAGGTATCCGCCCGTAGCAGTGAGCGAGAGTGCCTTGAGCGGCCTAATACTAAATATTCGTTTCTCACCATGTCTATGATAGCTGTGGCAGCTATTAACAAGTCCATTTCCGGCCTTGAAATGTTGCGTACCTCCCGACTGCTTCATGTGGAGGTACCTTAGAATCGCCTCATTTGTAGAGCATTGCGAAGTCCTCGCTCTGACCAAAGCTGAGTACACGATTTGAGTGCGTGACTTCACTTCATTGATATAAACACCTGCGCAAATATCGGTAAGTTCTAATGTTCGTTCCCCCGTGCCTATGCTGTATCTACAAATTATCTTGCGGGCGGTCCCCTCCATCCGTGGATATATCAGCTCCTCATCTTGCCTCATCTTCACGGCTTATCACCGTCCATCGTACATCATTATTAGATTGCCTTAATCTGCGATGTTCAAAATTGCTCGGACGAAATCACTTTGTCCATATTTCTCCTCATCAGTTTTCATCCGGGCCAAAGCCGATGCTGCCCTCTCCACAGTAACCCATAGTTTCAAAGTCTTTGCGACAGCCGCGCGAACCAAGTCTTCCCGGTCTGCGGCGCGAGAGATGACAACATCTACGACACTAGCCTCTACCATGTCCACCGCGGAAATCTCTCCTATCGCAGTAACAGCCGCGGCGGCTTCCAAAGGTAATGACGCCGGGTTCTGCGCGATTGGGATCAAAGTGTCCATTGCTGACTTGTCACCAAGGTTTCCAATCGTGACAATGGCCGCATACTTCAGAATAAAGTGATCGTCGCCAGTCGCTACATCTACCAAGGCTGACAAGGCCTCACCGACAAGGCCAGAGCCGTCTCCACTCCCCGGCAGAAGGTATCCGAGCGCATTAGCTGCCGCCGCGCGCACAGAGTAGTCATCAGAGTCGTCCTTTAACACAGTGACAAGCCGGTTCGCTTCATGAGGCACACCGAGCTTACCCAAAGTGGCAACAGCTGTGAGACGGACTTGGCGGTTTTCGGAATCCAGGACGCCCGATTCATATAGAAGGGACACGGCTTGCTTAGATGGTAGTTGTGGTAAAAGGACAAGGGCTAGCATTTGTGTGTGTTGCACGCCGCCCTTCAACTTTTCGAGGAGCGCGTTGGCATCCGGTGGCGGTTGGAGAGAGGCCCGGGTCGAGTGAGAAATGTGCCATTTGATGGGCCTTCCTCGGGAGGAGAGCAATGGCTTTCGCAAAGACTGGGAGGGCGAATGGGGGAACGGAGTGGCAGATGCGAAAGCCGTCATGATGGAGAGACTGGCCAGTTTGTCAGGTGAAGGTAATGTTGTAGGAGCACTCCGCTGTGCACAAGATTCATTCTGCTCAACAAGTACGTGGAAGCAAGGGCCGGGCATGAAAGAGTTAAGGGTAACAATCGGATAGTGTCGCTCTGTTGTTGGCCCCGACTTGGCCGGTAGTTCTCCCATCAGCGATAGCCTGAAACGCTGCGCTGTACTTTTAGATTATTCTTGACGCGATGCAAAATTTGCATGCTGTACAATACTGCAGTCGTTGCCTGATTGGCTCGAAACGAACAACACCTACCCTACCCGTAAATTACATCGGCTGCCCACGCTCTGTCCCTCAGGCGTCTGGACCGGGAGATGCTAATGTAACCCCGGCCTACTGACTTGTTATCGCCTTGATCTAAAGCAACTTGCGCCTACTCTTCCTCTTATCATTCTTCGCCGTCTTCTTCGCGTCGCGCATCTTCTTCATCTTCAAATATTCTGGATTTTCCCCCACACCAAACAACGGGCATTGTGGACATCCCCTCCCTGGGCAGTCTTCGCATCGCATGATGCCAGAATCCATGACCTTTGTCTTTGTCGTTCCCTTCCTCGAACCCGACGGGTCCGAACCTCCTACAAGTCTTGCGGTGTTATTGATCACCTGATCGTCCCTCATATTCTCAAGTGCCACCAAATCATTCCAGTCCACGTAATATATACAATTAACAGGGCATGTACCGATAGCCACTTCAACATCCCCCTCCGTGTCCCCACTTTGATTAAACACCCTCGCCCTTCCCCATTCACTCTCCATGAAGAAGGTACCAGTCGCAGTCGTAGCGCAATGCGTGCACCCGATGCAGTCGCGCTCCTCCACGTACACGTATCGGTCGCGTGGCCCCATGCCATCTTCATCTAGTTCCACGATTTCGAATGACTTCTTCAAACCGAGCGGGTTTGAAAGTGTAGTATCCGCTTGCGTAATTTCGCGCAGACGTTCAAAGTATTCCTCCGAGTCTAATGCGGTGGAGCCGATGAGACTCTCGTCAAGGGATGGTGGTGCTGAGCTGCCTTCCTGTGCGGGTGGCTTGCCGTTGCCCTCGGCGCTAGAGCCATCGCATACCAGGGGACGGCAGCGAACACGTTTCGGAGGCACACGGGTTGCAGGATGTCTTCGCACGAGGCAGTGTGGTCGGGGAAGGAATGCGGTTCTGCAAGTGTTGATGCTCGCGAGGTTTGGGATGAAAGCAGCTCTCTGAAGTGTTTGCGACTCGTCTGCGATGCGCAGGTGCTTGCTTGATGTTGCCTTTGATGAAAAGAAGGTGACTCTCATGTCGAAGCTGCAAGGGAAGTATCCTTTCTCATGCTCACAGAGGGTTCAGAAACGCAGGGACAACGGCAGTTGTGCCGCTCGCAACAGCAGCCGATAAGATTGTACTGTAGAGGACAGAGTATCCCCACTCCGTGGGATGGGAAAATTTGCAGCCACAGAGAGGAAAAGGCTTTGGCACGTATGCAACGTGTGCACGTTCATGTCCTTTAGTGGGGATCTTTTTGAGATACTTTTTTTGTGCACCTGTTCGTGCATGCCGTACAGCTCTCCCCTGGCAGAGCCCACCCTGACACACCCTCAGGGTGTGTCTTAACATGCCCTGTTTTGCTGCGGTTTGCTTTGCTTTGCCCAAAGAAGTGACTTGGCGTGCTATGAGTGGCTCCTACGTTTTAATTTATGTGTTTAAGAAAAGCAAGGGCTTAAGAAGCATACTGTATTTGTTAAGAATTTAAAAGTATTCCTGGCAAAACCGGGCAAGGGAAAAACCAGCCTGTTAAGACACGCCCTGAGGGCGTGTCTGAACAGGCTGGTTTTTGCTTTGCCTCAAGCAGACACACTCCTATTGCCGTTCTCTGCCGAACGGTATCTTCCCGTCATACGTTCAACAAGGATTCAGAGTCTGAATTTCCGACTCACCGGCCACTCTGTGCAGAAATGTACCAAACCGGCAGTAGGGGGTCGCACATCCCAAAGATACCGACCTTTGATATGAAAACCTTCGCTCGGCTGGCCTCCATGTCCCGCTTTATCCCATGCTACTCAGACCATCACTCCTTGCATTGAATGAAGAACGCTTTTTCATGTCCGCTTCTTACCCCAAATCGCTAGCTACCCTTCATTCCAAACCGTGCAGTCGTGTCAGGCCCCTCACTATCTGTTTCCCTCATGAGTCAGTTCATTCCAGCTTCGTACTTGACGAGCAGGCGAAGAGATCGCCTCTTTAAACCGAAACCAAAGGCTTGCTATGTCGCTGTGTCTTGCGATCTCTACTTACTACCCAAAAACAATCGTGTTGCACCAAACTCCAGCCATAATCCAACTTCTTTGAGAGACTTCCGAGGGGCACTGCGCTACAACCTTCCGCGAGATATCACCTCAGTCGAGATACGCGCAGATGGAAACGCAAGCGCGCTCCGCGTCACATCAAGCGAGGTCTCCAATGCGGCGACGAGGGGGAAACCACGTTCTATCACCATTGTATGCGAGTCGGAACTAGAAATGACCCAGCTTGCTGAGCTCATTAACCAGGCAACAGGATCGTTATTGTCCCTGCAGAATGCGTTTTTGTCCCGCCGCCGTCAATCTGGGGATGAGCTGGAGCAGTTACGCGGCGTGTTGGCAAATTTTGGTATATCACCACAGGTTGCGGAAGAACAAAGCTGTGATCCCACAAGCCTCAGTTCAGTGGTTGTGCAGATGACTACACTTTCACAAGCCTCGAAGGGTACAATAGGAGCTCTTCAGGATGCTAAAAAGTGGGCACTAACAGTAGGCGAGGCGGTCGCCGGATCAAGAGGAGCCATTTCGGTCCTCGAAAACTTATTCACAGGGCTTCCGATTGCGGGTCCAATCACTCAGGTCTTGGGAATAGCCGCCGATGTTGCTATTTTGACCGTGGAGCGTGCAGGCAAGGAGGCAGAAGTGAGAGACCTTGTCCCTCGATGCCAGGCCATAGCCAGAGATGTTGTACGAGCGCTATTCTTCTCTTTGGATTTTGCGGCTGTTGAGGATAGTGTCGTAGAGAAGCTTTTCCTTACCCTGCAGAAATGCTGCAATGTTGCTCGATCTGCAGAGCAATTCGTCATGGAATCAAAGATTCTGCAATACCTCGCTGTAGAAGATGTTTCCACACTTCTGCTCGACGTCAAAGATATTGAGGCACAGGTTACATCTCTTCGAATCCTTCAATATGCACAAGAGAACCACGCCAGAGGCCAACGCCTGCAAGAAACACAGGAAATTGTTGTAAGACAAGCGTTAAAAGAGGCCTTCCGACCGGCTCTGATTGTACCACCAGTAAGTTGTTCTGCAACCATGGACTTCAGTGAAGTCGCAGATACACCAGAATCCGGGCTGAAGAAGATGCTTTTTGACGATAGATCCACGTCAGGCCTTGTTGCGGTTGTAGGGATGACAGGCGTTGGTAAGACCACTATGTTGTCGTCAATCGTTAAGGAGCCCAGTGTTCGCCGGTATTTTGATGGTGGAATATATGAAATGCGAATCGGAGGTCAGTGCAGCTTCGACAAACTGAAACTGGAGCTAGTCAAAGCTATACATCGATCTGGCGGTAAAGTGACGTCCGAAAAGCTTGCTGGCTTTAGTTCTTTATACGACGCTATTGACCTTGCAAGAGAATGGTTTTTTGGGCACCGCTGTCTTTTCGTTTGGGATGACATTGAATCTTCCCCAGACGCGCTGACTGGGTATGTTCGCGAGTTGCGTAGTATTCTGGACCTTATCGTAGGGTCAAGGGCATTGTTCTCTACACGTGACAGCACGTTGGCAAACAATCTGGCAAACCCCAGGGACATCGTCCAGGTGGTTCCGAGATCCTCCGATGTATCCGAGAGGATTTTTTACAGTCACGCCGCAATACCAGATTCAGAAGTAGCAGCTTTGAAGAGTTCTCCTTCTCGTCCATCATTCGTCTTTCTCAAAGACGTTCTGGCAATACTTCAGGAATGTGCCGGATTGCCTCTGCATCTTGCTGTGTGCGGGAAGGCGATAGCCTTGACACGTGCAGGCGGCTGCGCAAGACCCCTCCACGCTTGCAAGAAGTTCTTACATGATGGGGAGGAAATTGCTAGCCTCCGAAACGAGGCGCTCACGACTTCTTTCATGGACACTTACGCTGGATTCGAAGCAACGGTAGACCGTGACCTGGCGCTTTGCAAAGTCATTCTTGTCAATGAGCAGCTTGAATCTGCAGTCGCGGAAAACGTTTACTTCGGGCTCTGTGCTATAAGAAAAGACCAATGGATCTCAGAGGGCATCGCAGCAAGGATTTGGGGGCTCACACGGGTTTCTTCTCTTTCCGTCCTAGCTGCAATGAGAAGATATAATCTACTTGAGACGCGAGAACATGACGGTGAAGTGCAGTTCAGAATTCACGGTTTGTTACATGCGTACTGCGAAAAAAAGTCCAAAAAGAGTGTGGAAAGACCACCTTGGTTCTGGCACCAAACGCTACTGAACTCATATATGAACAACACCAAAGAAAAGCAACGAGAATGGTGGGATTGTAAGACTCTTGATGATGGCTATCTTCGCCAAAGCCTGATATACCACCTTGTGAAAGGAAAACTTTACAGAGAACTAGGAGAACTGCTTCTCGATTGTCGTTGGGTGCAGCGGCGTTTGCAGAAAACAGCGAAGGTGACCTGCGAAGAGTTGCGTCTTTTGCAACTGGATTATGAAACACTGAAGAGTTTGTCCGTTAGAGAAGATGTTTCCGAAATGATTACAATTTCCCAAGTCACGATCGAGGACCTTGCACTTGCGCTATCCTACATATCGCAAGCTATTCGACTAGCTCGATCAAGTATCATGCAGAACCCTCAAGAATACGGATTTCAGATCTGCACCCGCCTTGTCCATGTTCAAAACATGAGTTCCGTGAGGCTGTTTTTGGAAAGTTGGAAGAAGCATGCGAGACGTCCCCTAGCGCGTAGCGTCCGCCAAAGTCTTACTCTGGCGGGACAGTCCCTGGTTCAATCCGTTGCTATCGGCTGGGTTATCAAGTCGGTCGCTTATATACCGAACACTGAACTGGTGTTGGCTGTGGGACAACGTGGCGCAGTTCTGGTTGATCTGGAGAAGGGTGCAATTGAGAACGTGTTGTCCACTTGTGAATACGGAAAAGAGGTCATTGAGTCTGTAGAAGTGAATGAAGGGGGCTCACATGCCATATTTGGATGGGCAGATGGCACCATTGATTTGTGGAATTTGCGTTTGTTAAAGTTTGTTAAAAGTTATGCGTTTCCGGGTCTTCTGTCTTTGGCTTTTACAGCAGACGGAAAAGAAATTGTTGTAGGTTCTGAAGACGGAGATGTGCATCTCTTGGATCTGAAAAGTGGTCGACCAGCAAGGGGTCCTTTTCATGGACACTCAAAACGTGTGACAAATGTGGCGACTGGTTCGGATTGTCGCTTAATTGCATCTGGGTCAGACGACCACACAGTGCGAATATGGGACAAGACCGGGACTACAGCACTCAGAGTCATAAAGATGCCGAACCGCTGGATTCGGTGCGTCGCATGGACTTCTGACATGAAGCGTATTGTGGCCGGAACGGAGCAAAACGATATTTGGGTCTGCGACGCAGACGCAGTCATGCCACCCACAGTAATCAAGGCAAGCAATTGGATTAATTCCGTACGAGTAACCAGAAATTCCCAGATGATAGTATCCGCATCTCATGATGGGACAGTACAACTGTGGGATCTGGTAAGGAATGTACAACTTGGAGAACCGCTGCGCGGACATTTAGAACTCGTCACCAGTGTTTCCATTGACTCAGAGGAGAAACACGTTGTATCCAGTTCATATGATGGCACTCTGAAGCAATGGAGATTAAAGCCGAATATTGCAAAGCCAAGCGGCCATGCTCGCGGAATATCTTGTCTGGCAATTAACTTCAGATCGAATATGGCCGCGAGTGGTTCTTACGACCAGAAAGTTAAGTTATTTGATCTTACGAGCGGTGAGACCCTGCATAACGGGATACTTGTTGGCCCTAGCAGCCATGTCCAAAGTGTGGCATTCTCCCCAAATGGAGGTCTGCTAGCCTGTGGTCATCGAAATGGTACAATTGCAGTTTGGGATACCCCTTCCGCTGGATTGGTCCATGAAATAATCCGCGGACACCGCAGTGGTGTCCGTTGCCTCTCCTTTAGCCCTGATGGAAGATTTCTGGCGAGCGGTAGTGAGGACAAGACGGTGAAGATATGGGATTGCCGCGATCCCAGTGGGAGCGACCCGCTTTTGCTCCTGGGTCACAAAAATTGGGTTGTTTGCGTCTGCTATATTGAGACCGGGCAATTTCTAGTGTCTGGGTCTTTTGATCGCACGGTGCGCATCTGGAATTCAGCAAGCGGTGACTGCGTTGAACAGCCGTTGCGAATACAAGATATGCCCGTCCGCTTAAAGTTTTCCGAGCACGACTCCATGTTAACCGCGACGTTACGCAACTCAAAGTCCCAATCATGGCACGTGGGAAGCGAAAGGAATACCGAGAATTTTGCTACCAGTAGACCTCCAGATCCAGATAGCGAGATAGAGCATGGCAAGTTATCGCTTCAGCGAGAAAGTTCGAGAATCTCAACATTTGGTGGTCGTGACCCGTTTGTGCATCTCGATTACGATGCATCATGCGAGCCTTTGTACGATAACAAACATCATCGTCTTTGGGCAGGGCTGCATGACGGCACTGTTGCCGCCATTGAACTTTTAGAGTAGCAATCTTCTCACTGGCGGTGTTGTGACGAACCTACAGTACTGTACATCAGATGAAATATTCAGAAAAGAAAAATACAACGAGCACTCTTGTTTAGGTTTGAGCATAGGCTGCCGGCCATCGTAAGTCGCGTATATCCTTGAGTCAGGTACTTTCATGACTAGATACTTGCAAATCCGAAACAACCTTTAAGGAGGAGAACATGTCCTACGCATCAGGAGCTCACAGACGTTCTCTTCGACATAACCTCATTCTCTGTGCAGTGAACCGGGTGAATTTTAGAGTTTCGTTTTCTCGAATATTGGAAGACTTCTGATTCAGAAACGAAAAAACGAAGAAAGCTAGTGATAAGCGCACACGTTCCGGCACACAACGTTCAAAAAATATAAGCCCTTCTCACGTCTCTAAGCATCCTCTTGCATTTATATTCAGCAATGTGTGCCCGTTTGTGAAGCAAGAAAGATGTCTATCAGTCGGACTAAAACAGGCGCTCATATCATTTACCAAAACAACAAAACTTGAACCCTACTCGATTTCAGTTGGCAACCTAAGCTCGCTATTCCTATTTCGGTTTCTGAGTCGGGCTCTTATTATCACCGAAGTACCCTTCCTGGAAGAATTCCTTTTGCATGTTGAAGGACTCTTTCGATGTGGCATCTCCGCGACCAAAATTGTCTCTTGCTATTGGGGTATTGATTGCTGGATCTGGCGTGGGGAGCGGGCGATTGTCTCCCGTGGGTATTGGCCCGCCTTCAGTATCGTTAGATAACCTCTCTCGCTGCTCGTGCCGTCTAGTAACAACGACACCGAAGCACAGTACAAAGAGTGGAATTGCAACGATGAACGAGAGTATGGCAATCGCCGCTACGAGAACTCCAACAGAACTGCCCGCCTCAGCCACATTATCGTTCGATCCCAGTAGATTGCCAGGAATTTCTTTGAAAGTCATCGCCATAGCTGACATGATCTTAACACGATGTTCTTCAAGATAAACATCTTTTGCAATCCGCGGCCCGACTCCTTTCTCCATTAGTGCTGTTGCGATCTCCTCGCTCTGGCCAGACACGTACACGTCATATTCTACTATCAGCTTGGATCCCTCGTTCCGTAACTTAGTGAGTCTAATTTCTCCTTCGGTTCCATCCTTATCTGCTAAAACCTCTTTCAGAAGGGCTTCTTTGATCTGCTTCGACTTGTGTTCAGAGAACCCTGATATTGAGTATCCGGTCAAACACATTTGTACTCGAACTTTTTCTGGGAACATACTTTTCCCAGAATCGACTACAGCAAGGTGCCCGGACGCAACTTCTGTTTTTAGAGTTCCTTCCCCATTGCTCACAGCTCTAATCGGTAGGTCTTGAGAGGGTATCATGACGTACACATCAGAAGGCTCCGTCTCCCCCGATGTGATACGCATGATTGGCTGTTGGACAATAGTGCGAGAAAGCCTCTTGCCATATGTCATGCCAAGGTCCACATTATTTTTCTCAAGCATGGTGTCTTCCAATAATGCTGCCGAGAAACGGCTGTCCCCCGTTTTCTTGAAGTCCGCAGCAGTTTTGTGTTGAGCCCCTTTTTCTTGCTTGTCGACCATCTGATCCAAATTCATAACTGTAGAGGTATCACCTGCTCGAGTTGAGCTGGCCCTGCTACTTTGATTCACACTCGGTTGGTGCAAAAGCGACTGATTTGCCGCCAATGAAGCATCCTTCAGAAGATTTAGAACGTTTTCGTCTTCTTCTCCTGCTCTTACTGTTACGAATGTAATTAGCTGAATCGGGTTCAATAGTTTAGATTTCTTGAAATCAATCTCAGCATATCGCATCCCGGGAAGAGTCATGTAAAAAGCAGTTGCGTTTTGTGATTGAGCTGGTCGTATTGTGTTGTACATTTGTACACTGAATTCTTCCCTTCCATAGCGATCGAGTACTATTTTTAAGTCCCTATCAAGAAGAAGGACCGGCTTCCGAACAGCGGGGTTGCCAACAAAAATATTGACAGTGGTCTCAAATATTTCGTCTCCTATGAAGAGAGCTGGAATGGATATGGAAACCACAATATTTCCACTTTGTTGACGATTCAAGTTAAAAACAAGCGTTTGTGAAGCTTCATGGAAACCAACTCCACATCTTACGTCGGGGAATACGAAACGATCATTCGCATCCTTCCTCAAATCAGTAATTTTCCCGCACTCAGTGCGATTGTAGCTAAGCAGAGGAACTTTTGCGTCCGGCCGCGAATCCTTGACATCGATCTCTGCTGTGCTAATAGCAGCCGCTAAACTAGGAACATTTGAAAATACATCTGGACCAGGAGGTTGGTAGGAGATCGCCAATGGGATTTGTCCTACCGAAGAGTTCTGGATCATCACAGAATCTGGGTTGGGGAAGGAGAGGCCAGGTGAACCCATCCCAGAAACCAGTGCGACGGAAGATTTGTCTCTACCAATTTGAGCAACAATTCCGGATACGTAGAAGATACGAGATGAAGAGTATCTTACATAGGATGTTGTCACGTGCAGGGTGGAACTCACGATTCCAACTAAACCCTCGAACTCGTGTACGATAGAAATATTGTACCGTAAGAATGGCCCGTCGCTTATTTGGCGTACATTCTTTGATTGCGAAGTTATTATCTTTGAGTCGTTTACGTCCTGTACGACACTCAATAGTTTTTCTCCGGATCTTAAGTTTAGCACAAATGTTGTGCTAGATGATGCTTCCCCGTCAAGGAGAAAAAGTGTCTTCGCTGTTGCATTTGTACCAACTGCAAAGAGACCCTGCTTGACTTGAACTCCTGGATAAAGATCACGCGACTGGGGATCAGCCCCAATTGGTCGGGCAGAAAGATGAAATTGCTCGTGGTTCAAGAAAGCCTCATGTTTGGGCTCTTCTTCCTTCAGTGTGGACCCTTCGTTTGTTTCTAACACAGCTCCAAATCCTATAAAGAATAGACTTAGGACAGCAAAAGTACCTGATAAGAGGTGAAGTCGCATAACAATTGTTCAGCAAAGCTTTTGCGAGGAGCGCGTCGAATTAATCCAGACTTGATGTCAAGCACTTGAGGGTTCTTAATTTCTCCAGACGGTTAGCCTTGATAAATTCCTAAGAACAAACTATTCCAAGTCGAAACTGAAGATTGAGAAACTGGATACGGTGCGTTCAGGCAGAGATTGATGAAGCCCCTGCCTAGTTTATCGAAAGGTAAATATTCAAATCTCAACCATGCAAGTGTGGCACAATGGCACTCTAGAAAGGAAAAGTACTAGTCTGTTTTATGGGCATTGCATTCGCAACGTTTCTCCACTGCATTTATCGGGAGCATATGAAAGCACCCAATGTCCGGAATGCTCACACAAGGAGGAGTGACAATCGACTGCTAAAATTTGCCTTCTTCCGGAATTCCACTGTGAAATTTTTTTGGAGAACGGTACACCATAATTTGTCATCGCCGCCGTCATGAGCGACTGGAGACCAGACCGAGAACGACAGCAGAATTTTCTCAAACTCAATGCTGAGCATTGAAGTCGCCTTTGGAAGATGTGCTGAGAACCCTGCTTCTGCCAGATAGCGTGTTCTACGGAGGACACCGGAACTATTTTATCATTTGTAGTTACAGGAGCCCCGCCAGCCCGTTTGCCACGTTTTTACATAAGGGTACCGTTGGTACTGCATCGCAAAGCAACACTGTAACATATAGGCAACTAGGCTAAACACTACACATGTACTAGAAATGCATTGGGTTTGGAGGAGGATTTCTCGATAGTTTCCGAAAACATGGATAATACTGGATGGATTGTATTCAAAAATGTCATGCTTCCAGCCCCGAAGGGAACCTCTGGCTTCCAAAGATATACATGGATTGGAACTTGTAGCAGTGTACGGCTTCATAGTGAAATCACGCAAAACAACTGAAAATCGGGACAGATGTGTGTTCATGCGATGGATGAATATCCACAGAATGTACGAGGGGAAACAAGTAAGATTTGCCGCAAACCACGCGATCTGAAGGTAAGATGAATAAACGTGTAACTGTTTGCTCTTGTTCGGAATTATACCAGAAGCAAGAGGTAGTACACTATTCATTTTGGCTTAAAGCGGCCATTAGGGAGGCGACAGCGCGCACATTTTCGTCATCAGAGGGGCGACGCCATTCTATTCCAACGATCACAGGGGCGACACTAAAAAATGGTACATTTTGAGATGGCGACAGCCTCCCAAAAAGCGTTATCAGGAGGGCGTCAAGACAACACAAGGGGCGACAATTCCGGTTATACCCTGGAAATGGTGGACCACATGGCACATGACGGAAATAGGGGGGCGACAACGATAGGGGCTACAATTGCGCACTTTAGGGCGACGCCTCTCGTAATACACAGAGGGGGGGCGACAACTAAACCCAGTACAAATTAGATGGGCGACTTTACCCACGCCACGAACACATACATCGACACATAAACGACAACGACCTACTCAAAAAGCTGCTTCAGCTTGCAATCCCCCCTTACATGGCCCTCACAATGGCATAAGCTACACGAATCGCTTTTTTTCTTCTCGTACCGGGCCCACGTTCAAACCATCCCTTCTTTCTCTTTCCTGCATTCTTCACAGGTCGCACTCAAGCGGGCGCAAGTGCTTTCGGAACTTGCAAATGGCCTAGTGCCATAATCGTTTTCGCGGATAGAAAAACCTGATCGATAGCAGCTTGCTCCGGCAACGGAAATCTCACATCCTTGTACTGCCCCTTCCAGGTATAAGTCAGATGACGCCTGTCGATAAACATGTGCACGTTGGTAGAACCGTGTTTCTCGGCAATAACTGCCACTCCCTGTAGACATGGGAAGCTGGTACCCTGCTGTGAATATGCGCAGCACAAAGGCGGAGTCTGGATGCTTTCCGCGAAGGACACCATCCGCTGCGAAGACCCATTCGTGTAGCTCCTGACGGTAGCCTCCATTTGGTTCGTTCCGGCAACAAATTGCACAGTTGGCTAGTAAACACTTGCTCTCGTAATGAGCGAGGCAATGTGGTTCTCCACATACGGCGGGACTGGATCCTTCGATGTGAGATCCATGGCTTGGCGTTTAAGGAATCCAG